CATTATAGTGTATAAGCATGCCAACACCTTTACACACAAACTCTTGGCTGTACCTCAGAAATCTCCCCTATGCAAGAAGTTGCTGGATCACCATGAACACTTTGAACTTTAGAGTCCATTGTCTATGGAGATTCTGAGTCATCTAGGTCATGGTTGTCCCAAAGGTGCTTTTCCAAGAGACAACTGGACCTTTTAGTTTTTCTTTGAAGATGTTTAACTTCTCATCCAAGAAGCTTCTTCAGTTCTGAAGCTCAGAGTCTACTGTTGGGAGTCAGTGACCACCTCTGCCCACATTGGACAGGTCGGAGGAGAGGCCATAATCATGGGCTCTTGTTCAACTAAAAACACTAGTTGTGCTTCCGTACATGCTCTTACTTATGTAACAAGCATTTGCTTTTTAAGATGTAGGGAATTCTGAGCAGGGGCCACTTTCAAAGGGACAATTTTTCCCATTTGCTCCTGAGTGGCAAGATGGCCCTGCACTCCCTTGTTAGATTCTCCAAAGGAGCTCAGCGGGATGGCAGGGACCGTTGCAAATTTCAAGAAATGCTAAATACACTGAGAATAAAATGAGTGGCGGGGAATATTGGGGTAACAACCCCTATTTGAGGTTGGAAGAGCACATAGTTAGATTCCTAATACCTTCAAGATCTCAAATTCTCTGCCGTTTAGGCTGCGTTTGAGTTTCTCTTTTCAAAGAGTAAGGTTGGCATCCAATGCTGTACAAAACTACAGCAACATCAGTGCTATTATTTATGGCACTACTAAATCATATTAAAATATAGTGTACTGTGCTGGAGTGTGATAATACTATGTTTAAGCAATTACTTTCGCTGGCTGAGATTCATGACTGCTGTGCAGCCCACCCCTCCCTTTTCCTCTTGCCTTCAGTGGGCAGCCTTTTCAACGGCAAAGTCACAGCTGTGCCAAATTACCTCATTTTATGGGTTATGTGATGCTTCTGCTTGTTGGCCAAGGCTGTTTAAATTTAGCCCTCTCCCCCCCCCACCTCCACACGTATTAGAGAGTTTTATTGATTGTTTATGTTAAAGAGGCCATAACCAGAGGCATTGGTCTGAAAGGTAGAATTTTGATCTTCTATTCCTTTAACAAGGATGTGCCAAAGGAGACTTGAGTGATGCTGTTGGCATCGGATAAAATGGAAATGCCTCCTAGCTGAGCGCAATCAGGACCATAATATCAAGCTATACTGAATTTATAAAATACCTGAATGTAAGCCCACAAAAAGATGAAGGTTCCCAAATTCTTGCTGTATTTTAAAAGGCAAAAAAAAGAGACTTAGATGAATTTTGAAAGAGTGGGATCCTTGAGGATTATTCACCCTTGAGCAGTTGAATGGATCAAATTCTCCCAGGTAGGGTAACTAATTTAAAGGCTTATATAAGAAAGAGAATTATTTGAATACAGTAGCAATAGCACTTAGATTTATATGACGCTTCACAGTGCTTTACAACTCTCTCTAAGTGGTTTACAGAGTCAGCCTTTCCCCCCACCCCCAACAATCTGGGTCCTTATTTTATTGACCTCGGATGGATGAAAGGCTAAGTCAGTACAGGTAGTCCTCAACTTATGGCCACAATTGAAACCAAAAATCCTGTTGTCAAGCAAGACAGTGGCATATTTTTCTCCCATTTTACGACCTTTCCTGCCACAGTTGTTAAGCGAATCAGTGCGGTTCTTAAGTTAATAGTATGGTTGTTAAGTGAACCTGCCTTCCCAATTGACTTATCTTGTTAGAGCAGTGTTTCTCAACCTTGGCAACTTGAAGATATCTGGACTTCAACTCCCAGAATCCCCCAGCCAGCTTTCACTGGCTGGTGAATTCTGGGAGTTGAAGTCCAGACATCTTCAAGTTACCAAGGTTGAGAAACACTGTGTTGGCTGGGGAATTCTGGGAGTTGAAGTCTGGACATCTTCAAGTTGCCAAGGTTGAGAAACACTGTGTTAGAGGGTTGCAAAAGGCGATCACATGATGCCTCAGTTGCCAAGCATCTGAATTTTGATCACGTGACCACAGTGATGCTGTAGTGGTTGTGAGTGTGAAAAACCCTCATAAGTCACATTTTTCCGTGCCATTCAGTCACTAAACGAACTGTTGTAAGCCGAGGACTACCTGTAATAGGACTTTGGGTTGATGGAAGTGGTATTTTGTCAGGTTTTACATTCTAGAGAACTGTGGCATAGGTGATTGACTCCTGAAGTGTTTTGGAGATCTAGAAATGTTATTGTATTATAAGGGAGGCATTAAAAATAAAAACCCACACCGTCTCTTTCTTTTGACATATGAACTGTGAGCAAATTAGGAAAGATTTGAAAAGATGTGATATATAGTCAGACAAGAAGTATTCCTTCATCCGTTGCCTTGAGGAGGAGCAAATTTGAGATAGAGGCCTCTTTTCCTATCTAGTATAATGAACTGGGGGAATGCTAATAAAGAAAAAACACAGGAGCCCTGCCCTCCAATGTAACTGCTCGTCCTAGTAAAAGGTGCTCACTAATGGTCGACTTTTAACAAGGTAGCAAGATGGCAGGAAAGGTTAAGTATTGCAAATGTGATCTTCAGCCCAGGAAAAAATATCTGCCTCTGCACAGTGGTGTTCCCTGCATGAAGCTGTTTGCCACTTTTTATTGGACCTCAATAAATTGCTTGCTAGACATTTCAGCAAAATGGCTTTTTCCTTTCCTTTGGCCAATAGGTGCCATGTCCTTTGCCTTGGTTCTTTATTGGCAGTTGGTTGGCAATTATCAGGTGAAACCTATGCCAGTTTGGGCTTGCTGATAGTTACACAGCAAACTATTTTCTAGGGAGCGGGTGAGTGGCTGCCAGGAAGATTTCTCCTTTCCCAGACCATTGACAAAACAGTTGTATGCAGAGCCATGTTATGGTTCAGAGTTGTGTATAATGCAAGCACTTATAAAGAATCTGTGGTTGCCATGTAGACAAATGTTGCCTAAATTGTAGAGTAGAATTATCACTGGAAGAGCTGCATTTGGCCTCTTAAAAAAAAAAAACAACAGACTATTCCTATGTATCCATTTTATAGATTTGTACAGTCCAACCAAGGGTGACTCAGTGGCTATGATGCTGAGCTTGTCAATCAGAAAGTTCGTCAGTTTGACTCCCTAGTGCCGCATAACGGAGTGAGCTCCCGTTACTTGTCCCAGCTTCTGCCAGCTTGAAAGCATGTAAAAATGCAAGTAGAAAAATAGGGACCACCTTGGTAACAGCATTCTGTATGTCTTTGGCATTTAGTCATGCCAGCCACTTGACCACGGAGATATCTTTGGACAGCTCTGGCTCTTCGGCTTTGAAATTGAGATGAGCACTGCCCCCTAGAGTTGGGAATAACTAGCACACATGTGCGAGGGAAACCTTTACTTTTTACCTTAGAGTCCAACCTCTGTCTGTCACTAACTTCATATAGTAGAGTGCAAGGGGACATTGGAAGCATTAACTTCCAATTCACAATTGAATTTAGGGGAGGAAAAAAAAGTCCAGTTTCACCTTGTGGCTTCTAAAGTAAGAGTTTTAAAGCCACAGCCTACTGAGCAGACCATAATGGCTGGTTCTCACATAGTGCTAAATCCCAATGGGTGAACTCACATTTCAAACTAAACCAAAACAAGCAACTACAATGTTTCTTTGCCCTGTGGTCACTATGCGTATGTTCTCACAATCACAGCAAAACAGAATTCTTAAGATTATAAGGGGACCAATCCCTTTTGACATTGCCTGCCAGTGAGTAAAGCTAAGAAATATAGATAGCAATAGCAATAGCAGTTAGACTTATATACCGCTTCATAGGGCTTTCAGCCCTCTCTAAGTGGTTTACAGAGTCAGCATATCGCCCCCACAGTCTGGGTCCTCATTTCACCCACCTCGGAAGGATGGAAGGCTGAGTCAACCTTGAGCCGATGAGATTAGAACCGCTGAACTGCAGATAACAGTCAGCTGAAGTGGCCTGCAGTACTGCACCCTAACCACTGCGCCACCTCGGATAGGAGAAACTGGAGCCCAAAGACAGTCAGTTCTTGACTGCTTAACCCAAGACAATCACCAAAGCACAGATGGAGTAGCTCATCTTTTTTAGCTGTGCTCAGTAGTTGGCTGGCTAGGGAATTCTGGCAGTTGAAGTCTACCTATCTTCAAGCTTGCAAGGTTGAGAAACATTGGTCTAGAACAGGGGTGTCAAACTCACATTGTCATGGTGTCGTCACGTAATGTATTGGGACTTTTTTTTGCTTTCGCTAAACCGGGTGTGGGCGTGGCCAGCGCTTGACGCATCCGGCCTACAGTCCGGGAGTTTGACAACCCTGGACTAGAAAGTCAGTTCTTTATATTGACAAGATACTGAAGATACTGAAAGGCCTATCCTGCTTTATCCTCTTGTTTTCTTGAACTTGTTTATTTGCATTTGCAGGAATGTCGTTTCCTTTAATTTGTTAGCACATTTAACCAGACAGGAGTTGTGAATCAGGTACTGTACACAAACCGTAGTTAGTTAAGTACACAACCATGTTTTTTTGAATTAAAAATATCGTCACTTTTCATTTTATGAATAGTCTCTCCAGTGTTCCGAGTCTTTCGAGTTTTTTTTTTTTTAACACTATTAAGTTTATGTTTTATTGAAAAGAACATTGTGGTTGTCTTGACTACTAAAAAAACCCTGTCCTGTGCACTGCTCAGAAGGTGTGCATAATGTGACAGTTAAAACAAGAAGCGAGAATGCTGAGTTGAAGCTTACTCGGTTCAGCTTCTGGGCTCTCCAGCAACAAATCCTGAGATGGTTTTTTGTGTGTGTGTGTTTTTATTTTTCTCCTCAAGGATGCAGTCTGTTTATGCCAAAGTCGCTGGTTTGCAATGTAGTTATGCATTCATCTCCCATGACAATGATCATTTTCTCCAACTACATTCACTTTGTGACCGAACACCCCCCACCCCCGTTCTGATATAAAATTCTCCTGTCTTTTTCCTCTAGGCAATAGTATATGAAGGCCAAGACAAGAATCCAGAAATGTGCAGAGTTCTGCTCACCCATGAAATAATGTGCAGGTAAGAAAAATCTCTGTCGTATCTTAATTAGCAAAGAAAAAAAAATGACTCTCTCTCTCTGTCTTTTCAAAGCTTGGTTAAATCTAAAATTATTTTGAGATTTAAAGAATTCACAATTTTCCTTTGAAGAACCCCCAAATATGCTTGGTGTGAGTGCAATAAGCAGCAAATGTGTACTAAATGATCTATTTTCCAAGGCACCTGAGGGTAGAACAAGGAGCAATGGGTAGAAACTAATCAAGGAGAGAAACAACTTAGAACTGAGGAGAAATTTCCTGACAGTTAGAACAATTAATCAGTGGAAAAGCTTGCCTACAGAAGTTGTGAATGCCCCAACACTGGAAGTCTTTAAGAAGATGTTGGATAGCCATTTGTCTGAAACGGTATAGGGTTTCCTGCCTAGGCAGGGGGTTGGACTAGAAAACCTCCAAGGTCCCTTCCAACTCTGCCATTGTATTATTATCTTGTTTCAATGACCTATTGGAGCTTAATTTTGAATATGGCGAAAAATGCCATTTAGTGATTGGAACCTTTATCTTCATGGAAAATGTTTCTGATGAGAGAAAGAGGGGGGAGAGGAGGAGGGAGGGAGGGAGGGAGGGAGGGAGGGAGGGAGAGAGAGAGAGAGAGAGAGAGAGAGAGAGAGAGAGAGAGAGAGAGAGAGAGAGAGAGAGAGAGAGAGAGAGAGAGAACATCCAAAATGCAAATACTTATGAGCAGTTATCCAACATGACCTTCACTAGGAAAACCATCACCATTAGGCCATTGCTATCATAACAGCCTTTGATACCTCAGGTAAACAAGAGCCTGGTCCTTATTTTCTGCAGAAGTGAGTCTTGTAGGCTACTATGAATGATGTAGTGGGGGCAGAGTGAAAAGAAGGGTCTGTGGTCCATAGAAGGACATCTATACAGGTAGTCCTTGACTTACAACCACAGTTAGAACCAGAATTTCTGTTGTTAAACTCATTGAGTTGTAACTGATTTTACAACCTTAAGTGAATTACTGCACTTGTTAAGTGAGCCATGTGGTCATTAAGTGAAGCCATGTTCCTCCATTGACTCTGAAAATGGCTGAGAAGGTCACAGAAGGCGAACCCATGACTCTAGGATGCTGCAACCATCGTAAATACAAGCTGGTTGCCAAACATCCAAAGTTTGATCATGTGACCATAGGGATGCTGTGATTGTCATATATGTGAGGACCAGTTGTAAGTAACTTTTTCAATGCTTTTGTAACGTTGAACAGTTGCTAAATGAATGGTTGTAAGTTGAGGACTACCTACTTTAGCTGTCCAAGTTTATTGATTGCCCATTCAAGCAGACTCTTGGGTTGGACCTATGTAAAGGTTATGCTTGTTGTGTACCCCTCTCCCCCAACTTTCAATGGGATTGTGTTTTCAGCCCCAGCTTCTTAGAATCAGGTATAAAGTGAACTGAGCAAGAGCAGTCAGTCCTCCATGGGTTGTTGAAGCACAATCTTCTTCTCCTTTCAATCAACAAATATGCATTTCATCTTTGGGGATGATGAAGGATCATACTTCAGCAGCCAGTGGTTGAATTGATTGACGTAGTTATGAATAGTAGCTAAATCAGCAACAATTAGCAGCTCGGATATGTTTGGTGGCACAAATTGTGACAGCTGCTGATTTCAGGAATGAAAACATGGATTAAATTTTAAAATTCAAGTGCATAAATTATATAGAAATTGTGCTAAAATAATAGGCCAGGATCAGCCCCTCCCTCCTTTTGGATTTCTTAATAGACTTCCTCAGCCTAGTGCCGTGATGGCAAATCTATGGCGTGTGTGCCCGAAGTGGCACGCGCAGACCTGCCTGTTTGTCTTCTGGGTTTCTGGCAAGCATGCATACACAACAATCAGTTGCCCTTCACATGCACAGCAGTGCCCCAAAACACTGTGCATACGCATGCTGGCCAGCTGATTGTCGAGTGCGTATGCGCATTATAACCCTAAACTTCAGCTTTTCCAGTGCGTGATCTCTTTGTATGCACAGAAGTGTCGAAAGTTGGCCTGCGCATGTATGCTGGCCAGCTGATTGTTGGAAGCCCATGTGTTCTAGAACTCGGAAGTTCAGCTTTTCCAGAGTGTGGCCCTGATGAGCATGCATGCGATGTTTCCACTCGGTGCCAAAAAGGTTTCCCATCACTGGCCTAGTGTTTTTGTTGCTTTGGAAAACATTTTTTAAAAAAAATCCAGGGTTAAGAAGAGTTGCATCAAACACAACTGTACAGCACAAATTTGAAAGTTTGCTTTTTATAATCTTAGTAAGGCTCATCGGTTGTGGCTGAACAATTAAATGAAATTAGCATTCTCATATATTTCAAGAGGTATTCATATAATGAAATTCTAAGGGAAATAATGTTTTCCAGATTAAGTAACCTTAAGGATGAATCAGGAATTGAATGTATATATCAAGTTAGATTATAATGTGTTGTTGAGGGTTTTTTTTTCTTTCTTAGTGTGATTTGTGAATCTACTCATTCTGGGTTTAAATTGAGTGTGAATCAGGCCATTATGATTTATTCAACACATCCAGATTAAAAAAAATATATCTAGTTATAGTATTCAGTAGTTCAGTAATGGTCTGAATTCTCAAGAGTGAAATGTGGCCTCTTTTAGAATTGATACTCAGTTTTTTTGGCCACAAACTATAGTTTGCAGAGGTGATAGGCAGAAATCCAATAGAGGGAAATCTAGTGGACTAGAATGATGTGTGAGAGCTATAGTTCTCACACAGACAAGAGTAAAAAGTTTGATAAAAAAGCAGCCCTTTACCTCAATAAGACTGATGGAAACTGGGTCTCCCACACAAAAGATAGAAGAATCTAGCATGTTGCATTGCTCAGGGGGAAGTGCAAGAATTTTGAAACTTGATTTTCCTATAAATAAGACTCATTTTGATATGCAACAGTTGCTGCCATTCTTTAACAATGACCTCTTAGCTCTCCTGCAATATATGCACTTATTAGATATTCTCGCATTCTTGAACACTTGTTTATCTGTTTCTAGTTCAAAATTTCTGGGAGTAACTTTGTGGATTTGGGACTAGCAGTTGTACTAACTATACCAAGTAAAATTCATTAAACAGTTCCTGGAATAAAGTACAATATAAGGAACACACTCTGGTTTATATTATTTATCATGTTCAGAAAGATTTGAACAAAAGAAAGGTTGGGGGAAGATCAGTAAGAGCTATAGATGACATTAACATGAACGGATAAGCTAGTATCACAGATAAAGGATTGGTAAGAATGTGAATTGGTAAATATTTGGCAGGTTTTTAGTAGATGTCCAAGTTTCTGATGTTAATAAAAACAGGAGATAACTGTCTAGTAATCACTTAGTATTCCTCATTTGGCTTGTTATGAGTGTATGAATACATTTATTGGACAGTAGCTTTTCTTATGTTTTTTTTTTAGATAGTAGGACAATTTCCCATTACTTATGTATAGAATTTTAGCATCCATCAAAATCTTCAAGTGTTGTGTCAACAGAATTGGGTGTGCCAAAACGTGTATCAGTACATAAAAACATACATACATACATACATACATACATACATACATACATACATACATACATACATACTCAG